TAAAGATTACTAAATTTGGTGGAAGAAGATGAGATCCGGCCTCCACGAGGGCTTCTTACTCTCCCTAGGTCGAATTCCCTTCAAAAGGAATGTTCATGACCTAAAAGAGGCGTTTTGGCTTATATATTGCGTACAAAATTGTGGGTCAAAGTTTTTCTTTTCCTATTGCGAATCAGCTTCCACTTCTTCAGCTTCGCATGGTAGGGTGGATGCTTTGTTTCTTCATCTCTATTGTGCCCAGGTGCAGATGCTACGGTGGATGCCTTGACCCGACTTCACTGCTAAGAGTGCACCAACCAGCCTTCTTTCCAAGGTTGGATGCGACGCATCCACCCTCTTCTCCTCTAGTTGGAGCATATTTTCTTCATATTTTTGCACTCCAAACATCCTAAATCATCACACATAAACTTATTTAGTCATAAAACTAATAATTAACACATATTGAACATTTTAAAGATTAAATAGCATAAAAAAGCGGTTAAAATATGAATGAAGTAACATTAAAACATATAGAAATATGCCCAACATCAATAATTTTTTCATAATTCTACTTTATCCTAACCTTTCCAATAATAACTCTACCCTTACTTTCTTTTTTTATAATATTAGAAATTTATCTTTTGATTGCTGATCGAGACATTATAAAATAAATGACACAATTTATTCAAATTAAAAAAATACAGTATAATGTATTACAATGCAATAGAATACCTTATGAAAGAATAACCAAAACTATCCAAAACAAGCTGTAATATAATGTAACAAATGTACCAAATTATCAAAAATTAACCAAAATTTATAGCCTGTTTGGCCAAGTTTTTTTGGAGACAAAAGTATTTTTTTTTACCTAAAGCACTTTTGGCCAAAAATTTTAGAAGTTTTTAGAAGGGGAAAAAGTGCTTTCGAATAGAAGCGGAAGCAGAAAAAAATAGCTTCTGTCCAAAAACACTTTTCTGAAAAGCACTTTTGAGAAAAATACATATAGAAATATTTTTTAAAAGTTTGGCCAAATATTAATTATTATTCAAAAGGACTTTTTAAATTAATTAACCAAACATAAAGTAATACCCACAAAAAATACTTTTTAAAAAAGTACTATTCAAAAAAGCCTTCGCCAAACGGGCTATTAGCCGGTTCAAATAAAGTTAAAATTGAAACTTGAACACAAATTTCAAATCCTAAATTATCGATTCAGAGTTTATTTATTGGACTTGATAATTGACAGTGTGAAACCTTAAAGAAAGAAATGAGATTGAAAGCAATGTGGATTTTCCGGCCAAGTTCAGCCGGGAATCTCGAACTTGACAAATCTTTAATGGTTCCGGCAACCAGCTATACGGACAAATCACCGGCAAATTTGTTCTCCGGCGGCGTGCCGAGAAATATCTCGAATCTCTTTCAGCTCAATCTCTCTTACAGTCACTTCTCCGGCAAAATTCCGGCAAGTCTCCGGTGGGCTTCACTAACTTCAGCTTTTAATGGTCGAGAAGAAGTGAAAAAAGAAATTAGGTTGTATGCACCGACTATTTACACAATCAGGTCATTGAATATAATCTATTTAATAACATTAATTAGAATAAATAATAAGTAATCTGGTATATTTGAAATCATTACCGTGTATATAACTTAAATCTTTATATTGTGTTTTGGGTTGATATTATGGTCACTTCGAACAAGATATAGGAGCGAGACCACGCTCTTAAAGTTTTGTTTCAGAACAAATTTAGAGGCAAAATCTGTTCTTTATTACTCACTTTGATTCAATTTATGTGACATTTTTTTTATTCTGTTTAACATTTTCTCTGTTTAAAAGTAACTTAATTTATTTGGCGAGATGATATATAGCCACATAAATAAGTTTGGTTTGCTTTAGACCACAAATTTAAAGATCTTTAGTTTTTCTTTTATAAATTCTGTGTCCAATCAAACAAAACTACATAAAATGAGTGTAAAAGTTTGTGTGATGGATTGAAATGAATATTGTCATAGACAGATGTGAACAATGTGGTATCAGGGTACTTTGATAGAATTTACCAAGAACTGACCAAACGACTAAAAGTAAACATAAAGGAAGGAGCAGACAAACTTTCCCCAATTAAAGAATTACTGGAATGGTGAGCAGGTCTTTTTAAACCGTGTGACAAGTCAACCAAAGGCTTATATCAGTAGTAAAGAAGCAACTGACCACAATTTTCCTACATCTGCAAACATCTTTCACATTCATCTACAATGGCTTCATCCAATCAAAATTTGAAGAATGGTGTTTTCTTGAGTTTTAGAGGTGAAGATACTCGTAAAACTTGTCTGGGTCATCTCTACTATGCTCTAAAACACAGAGGGATTCACACTTTCAAAGATGACATAAGGTTGGAGAGAGGAAAGTCAATTCCACCTGAACTTGTGAAAGCTATTGAACAATCAAGATTTGCTATTGTTGTATTTTCTAAGAACTATGCAACCTCCGCTTGGTGCTTGGATGAACTTGCAAAGATCATGAAATGCAAGAAAGAATTAGGACAAACTGTCTATGACATGGATCCGTCGGATGTAAGTAAGCATAGTGGAAGTTTTGCTGAATCATTTGATATGAGGAAAATTTGAGAGTTGATTTGGAGAAGGTGCAATGTTGGAGGGATGCATTTAGTGAAGCAGGCAAGGCAAGACAGCAGGATATGACTTACCAAATGGCTACGACGGGTTCAAAGCTCTCTTTACTTTTCTTGCTTATTCTCCGAAACCTTTTAGTACACTGAAATTTATGTCGGACAACTATACTTTAATCCCAATAGTTGGGGTCACCTATACTCTTGGCTATTCAGGGGATTCAATATTGTTAGACACATAAAATATATGTGATGAAAAAAGAAAATCACATGCAAGAAAAAAATTTCAGTAGTTTATCCAGTATACTGAAGATATGTTCTCAGTCAGGAATACTAGTAAGTTCTTGGGAAAGCAAGGTAAGAGCTTAGTTCGTCATCGACTAAACAATAGCCTCCAAGATATGTTTTAACAGCTTAGAGAAGCTAAAAGTAGTTATACTATCCTTATGCAATTTGAAAGAGAGAAAGAAAAGGTAGGGCTGGAAATAAAAATATGCTGCTTTGTGTGTTAGAGTATTGCAGTGGTTGAGGGTATGGGTTATTGTCTCCTTATATGGATTTGCCAATCCTTACTTTGTGAGCTAGTTTTGCAGTTAAGTTAGGCCTAAGATCCTTTTTTTAACATGTTTTTCAGAGCCAAACCCATCTCTATTCTGGGTTTACCAAATTTGGGGCCCGTATATTGTGTTGTCCATCCTCTAAATGTAGTTCTGGACATGTGAAGGGTGAGTTCCACATTAGTTTTGGATATGAGTTGTCTCCTCATATGATATTCGGCAATCCTTACCTCATGAGCTAGCCTTTGAGGTTAAGTTGGCCGAAAGGTTCATTTTTGAACAATAGTCATTTCCCAAAAGATAAATCTTTAAAGGAAGAAAAAATAGGTAATGGGGTAAATAATAACCAACCATTAACAGGGTGAGGAACCAAAGAGAGTATGTGAACAGAGAGAGATGAGAAGCGATTGAGCACTTTTTTCCACATTATTTCTGATTCTCATGGTATCTAAAGTGATTAGAAATACTAAGCATATTACATAATTTCTGCACTAATGATTTTCTCATGGTCTTGAAAGGACTAGGAATACTAAAACGCATCAATCATGCACGCTGTATGTGAAGTCTCATTTCGAGTTGTTTTTGCCATTGCATGTACAAATATGAATCTAATTGCATTCAGCATGTTGTTGAAGACATACTGGGTAAATTATGTCAAGTTATTTCAAGCATTGATAATGATTTAGTGGGGATGGAATCTCGAGTGCGTGAAGTAAGTTCATTACTAAGGATGGAAGCACCTAATGTTTGTTTTATTGGAATAGGGGGGATGGGAGGCATTGGCAAGACAACAATCGCAAGTGCTGTGTTTGGAAAATATTCTTGCCAATTTGAAGATGTTTGTTTTTGTGAGAAAGCACGGGAGAAAATATTATTAATTAATTAAAGTGTTGTACAACGCCTTATTTATATACAATGATTACATAATAATAGGTATTTGCTTCCCGATGTGGGATACTATACATGACTAACTACTTAACACTCCTCCTCAAGCCAGTACATATAAATCATCTGTACCGAGCTTGTTACAAATATAACTAATACGAGAACCAGTAAGCGACTTAGTGAAAATATCTGCTAGCTGATCATTCGACTTCACAAACTTTGTAACAGTATCTCCTGAGAGTATCTTTTCTCTGACAAAGTGACAGTCGATCTCAATATGTTTAGTCCTCTCATGGAACATCAGATTTGACGCAATAAGAGCAACTTGATTATCACACACCAGTTCCATCTTGAACTGGACTAGGTGGTGGAATTGGAGCTATAGGTGGTAGAACTGGAGCTATAGGTGGTGGAACTGGAGCTATAAGTGGTGGAGCTGCAACTAGAGCTATAGCTCTAGGTGGTGGAGCTGGAGTTGTAGAGGAAGATGAATGGGAGATAGTGACTGAATCTCCAAAAGAAGAAACTGGTAGCACCTCAGAAATATCTAAGTGATTATTTGCACCTGTGAAATATGATTGGGTTTCAAAGAAGGTAACATCAGCGGACATAAGATATTGCTGGAGGTCAGGAGAATAGCATTGATTCCCCTTTTGCGTTCTCGAGTAACCCAGAAATACATACTTAAGAGCACAAGGAGTCCTGGAGTAAGGTTATGAACAAAACACGTGCTTCCAAAGACACGGGGTGGAAGAGAGAACAAAGGTAAGTGGGGAAACAGGACAGAGAATGGAACTTGATTCTGGATAGCTGAAGATGTCATACGATTAATAAGATAGCAAGATGTAAGAACTTCATCCCTCCAAAAACGCAACGGAACATGAGATTGTATGAGTAGGGTACGAGCAGTTTTTAGACCCATTGGCCATTGTGACTGTTGGAGAGATTGAGATCACGAAATAGTAGTGAAAAGAGATTTGTTACTAGAAGTATGATCAGATGCACCTGAATCAATGACCCAAGACTCAGAGGTTGAAGATTGGGAGACACAAGTCACACTACTATCTGTTTGAACAACGGAAGCTATCCTTGAAGATGTCTGTTTACATGCTTTGTACTGAAGGAACTCAATATAATCCGGTAAAGAAACCATCTGGATTGGATTCAATGAATTGGATCCAACGGACTATGAGTTAAAGGCTTCTGATACGAATGCCATTATAACGTTGCGCCGGGAAAAGCAGAAATTTTATGGAAAAATCACTGCTCACGCTGGAAAATATAAAAGTGGTCGGAATTTGATTTAAACTTGAATGAAAAGACTCGGAATAACCTCCTGAGTAATCTGTCCAAAAGAAGTTTCGCCGGAAAAATCATTGTAGCTGCCGGAAAGTCAGTGTAGTTGCCGGAAAATCTCAAAGTGACCGGAATAAAAAGAAAAAGGTATGGGTAGGCTCGGAATTACTAGGCGATCTGACTGTTCAACAGAAACTTTTCCAAACTCTAGCCGGAATAGGGCTAATGCGCCGGCGCGTGGATCAGATCTCGCAGGATTTTTTTCTTCTTTTTCGGCGTGTGAGGGCGCGTGGATGTGAGTTTTCCGGTGGGATTGACAGGTGTTTGGTTGTCTGAGCCTGAGGAGTCTTGTGGTGGTGTTGGTTTTTGCACAACACCAATGAAAAGTAATTTGCTTGCAGACAGCCTTCTAAGTCGCCAAAAAATTGCACGGCGACGAGGTCTTTCTTCCTGGAAGTCGCTGAAATGATGCATAGCGATAAGTTTCTTAGTAATGCTCTGATACCATATGAGAAAGCACGGGAGAAAGCATTATTAATTAATTGAAGTATTGTACAACGCCCTATTTATATACAATGATTACATAATAATAGGTTTCGACTTCCTGATGTGGGACACTATACCTGACTAACTGCTTAACAGTTTTCTTGATAGTGTTGCAGAAATGCAAAGGACATATGGACTGCAATATTTGCAAGGTGTTCTCCTCTCTCCTAAAGGTAAGCTTAACTATAACAAGTGTATATGAAGGCATGGAAATCATGAGGAAGCGGCTGCGCTCAATGAAGGTTTTGATCATTCTTGATGATGTAAATCAGAAAGGCCAATTAGAAATGTTAGTTGGAAGGCATGATTGGTTTGGTAGTGGTAGTAGAATTTTGATTACAACAAGAGATAAACAGTGGTTAGATAACCATATAGTGGATGAAGTGTATTCAGTCAACATGACTCAAGAAGGAGTAGAATATGGCTTCCTGAGGACATCGAGGATCTGTTTACTGGAAATTTCGTAAGATATGTCATTATCTCATACATAAGAACTGTATTGTCATCATCCACTTTTAGGTTATGTGTACGAATTTCTTGTTCTTTTACTTTTCTTTTTTCAATTATTTTGCCACATAGAATACAGTTGTATTTTGTTTTCTCATTCGTGTCAATCGTATCACTTTTAGTACTTTATATCATTTTTTTGTTAGTTGAATGAATGAGATTGATTTTCTTATTCACAAATGTATAATGGGTACAATAGTCTTGTATTTCAAATGTTGTTTCCTCGTGATCTTTAACTAAATCATTTTGATATACTTATGTGCACACACACACATAGAGATCCAAGTATTTTCTTCTACTAGAAATCACATTCGTTTGTTGTCGGTTGTTTCCTTTTCCATATTATTGTATTTGTGTGGTCTCGTCTTTTGATATCTTTTTCTCGGATTGAACTACTAATGAATAATATGTAAAATTAGGAGACATCCCCTTGCAAGCTCATGGCAATATCTACTTTTAAGTATTAATCGAATTTTCAGCTATGGAAATGATTTTCACACAATAATGTTTTAATAAAGGTTTTCTTTTGTTTCCTTTTAGGAAGCAGAAGCTGTGGAGGGACTATGGATACCAAGGAATTACATACCAAAACAGGTTATTTCATATTACAACATTAGTGAAGCATTTAGGAGAATGAAAAGATTAAGGGTACTTGTAGTTAGAGCAACAAATTTCTGCTCTATTGACCCGATTACTCATCTTCCTAGCAGCTTAAGGTGGCTTGATTGGGACAGTTGCCCTCTAAATTCATAGCCACAGAGTTTTGAACCATCAAATCTTCTTCGCCTGGATACACTTGAAAGTACTACACTTCAGAAACTCTGGTTAATTTCGAATGTATGATTGTTACCATCCCTTCCCTTTGGCATTCTTATTCCATGTTCTTTTAAGCTAAATCAATCCACCTGCGGAATGTTATCACATAATTATAGTTTCTTTCCATTCTAAATACGGTTTGAACAAACTAAAAACTTTGTCCCTCAGCTATTGTGAGCAATTGGAAGAAATTCCAAGCTTTGAAATGATGCCAAATTTTGAGAGAGTAAAGCTAGAGGGATGTAAGAGTTTGAGAGAAGTCAGTCCACATTCGGAGTTCTCATGAAGCTCACTTCACTGGAGCTAATCGGTTGTCAGAGCCTTGAGAAGCTTCCAAGTTATGTTCAGATGGGATCCCTTACGAGTCTCAAACTTTCTTGTCTTCCAAAGTTGAGGGAATTACCAGAAACCAAGGGGTTGCACCGTTTATTGACATTAGAGCTAGCTGATTGTCAGAGCCTTGAGATGCTTCCTAAGTTGTAACCCGATGGAATCCCTTGAGACTGTCAAATTTTCATGCCTTCCAAAAAAAATATCGTTGCCAGCAACCGACGGGATGCACCATTTTATTGGAACTTGTTATAGAATATACTCCGATTGTAGAGCTTCCAGTGTCAATTGGAAATCTTGTTTCCCTCAAACAGTACGGTTAAGTCATTGTAAAGATCTGTTAAGCATTCCAAACAGCTTTTCTTCTCTGAAGAATCTAAGGGTTCTTGTGATCTACACTGCAAAAGACTTGCAGATTTGCCAGAAAAGATGGTGACTTGAAACTGTTAGAGAAGCTAGTAGTATCTGGTACTGCAATTTCCAGAATACCCCCTTCATTTGCAGGCCTTGGTGAACTAAGCTTTTTATCATTCCCTCACTGGTTTGGATACAGAGAAGATGCAAATTTTCTTTTACCATGGTCGTTTAGGGTGTTAAAGCTTAATAAGCACACACTATGTAGTGAAAACATTTTCAGGATCTTGGATGCTTATCTTCTTTGGCTCACTTGGATTTGACTAAAACTGATTTCATAAGTTTCAATGAAAGCAACAATCAGAGCTTTCATTATCTAGATATAACAATTTGTGAGAAGCTTGTATTGCCCAAACTTCCAGCATGCATAAAGGAGTTATATGCATATGATCCTCTAGTCTTGAAAAGCATCCCTGATTTCCCCACCATTCAGAGCTGTATTCAGTGTCATTCACTCAGCATATTGAGAATAGAGGTGAACTGATTGATATCTTGCAATTTGTCCTCCGCTTAATTAGTATGGCATCTAGGTATCGCTCTCTCTTTCTCTCTCGTCATTTTTCTGCTTATCCAACTATGGTTAAGGAAATGGAGATTGGAGCTGATACGATTATCTTTCATGTAGTGTGAGAAAAGGCTACCATTTAGCATTTTTTCCCCTGGAGATATAAGATGGAGGGGGTTCAATTATTATCGAAAAGAACATACAAAAAGATTCTCCATTCCACTTGATCCATGTTGGTATGAGAGTAAATTCAAAGGATTTGTTATATGCTTTCGTGTCCCATTAGATACTGCTCAGAACCAGAAACCTTTGGATACTAAATCACGAAGAGGAAGTCACTGGTTCGGTTGTACTAAGGTTACAGCCTAGTTAGTGCAAAGATATGGCAGGCAAGAACAAGTTGTATTCCAGAAAAAATGTTTGATTGTTGCTTGCCAAACATTTTTCTCTCATAGTAGTAAATACACCATTTGCTTTAGCTACATAACTTTTGTAGCACTATGGCATACTTCTGATAGTGAAAAGGGGAAGAAGCCAAATGACTATTGCTTATTTGAGGCATCTATAGACCCAGGCATTGCAACAAAATGGGGACTTCTTCTGGTGTATGAGAATAAAATTCAACAGATAGATCAATCAACCATTGCGGTCCAACGTGGTGTGAAGTCTCCGAGTTCTGACCTGTTGAGAGAATCTAATGATGACCAATGCCAGGAAGCAGAGATGATATGGTTTCATTTGAAGCTGAAACTTCCCAAAAAATTCCTGATCAACAATTGGAAACATCATGCTCTTCTGCAGCTCAAAGCTTCCAACACAGGGAAGTGTCATGCTCTTCCGGACAGCCCCAAACTTTACAGATCTCTTTAGCTGATCGACAAGTTGATGAAGTGATAAATGAGGCTACCTCCTATATGGTGAGATCTTATGTTTTCTGCATACCTGTTTGGTGTGTCGATATCCTTTTCTTTTTGTTATCCTGATGCTACTTTTAGGAACTTCTGCTTGGTTTAAATTAATCATGTTTCTTGTAATTCAGGCAGCAATTATTTGCTCCGAAGCTGTTATATGCGAATCTTCTGGCTGAGAGTTCTCTCTGTTTTGGTTATTTTAGCTTGCATCTTAGCATGGGTTTTCTTTCTGCTACTTCTCATTCAATACATATAGACTTTGGATTAATGTCTCGTTCAATATTAAAATAGGATTTATCTCTTTATTAGTGTAGACTTTGAAACATTACACGTCAGTGATGGTAAATTACATTTTAAAATCAAAAGATTATCGATATACACACAAGACACTATATATTCGCTTGAGTCCTCTTGAAAATAAAGAATGTGTCAAAGGTAATAGTCAAAGAGGTTCAAGATTTGTATGAGGTCCTATGTTGGAAGTTGGAACTCCAATAGCACCACTTCATTGTATTTTTTTTTCGAGCTTCCTTGGTGTAAAGTCTTGGTCCGCCCCTGTTTCTTATGCCAAATTTCTCTTTTCAGTTTTCATGTGGAATTGTCAAAATATTCTACTTCGCATATTATTTTTTATATCAACCTATCAAAATTTTCTGATCTTGTAAGCTTGTTTTTAAGGTTTTTTTTGGAGCAGTGTGTCCCATTGAAATCTGACTTTCACTCACCAGAAAGGCAATGTCAGGTTGAGTCCAGAAACTACAGTCCCATTACTGTTAGGACCGAAAAAATCAAGTGTCATGCGGAAACTAGCTAAGCAAACCTTGAATCGCGATAATTCATACAACAAAAGAGAAATCTACCAAATGTGACACAAACATTTAACGTGGTTCGGTCAATTGACCTACGTCCACCGCGAGATGAGCAATCCACTATATAAAAAGAGAGTACAAAATATTGAGAGAACAATCTCACGAAGAGGCAAACACAAGTTGATACACTAACACTTGTCGCGTAAAGTTCTCCTAAACACGACTCTCAAACCCCATATGGCTAGATTGTGGATGCTACTGATTGAAAAGGACAGATCTTCAATTTATGGAACTCCAAACCTTTTCCTATAAAAAAAAGGACTAGCCAAATATGTAAGAATTATATTTTCCTTTTAGGAAAAGAAAAACCCAATTATGGTAAATATGTTGTCCTTTCCTTCATGAGATAGGAAAACCAATTATGGTAAGAAAATCTGGACAAACACCTAACAATTACCTACTTCAAACCTTATATTTGAAATTTCTTCTCATAATTTCACTATCATCAATAGAGTAACTATGTATACCTAAGTAGTCAGATTGGTCCTCCATCCTCTATACAAAAACCATATTTGTGAAATATTACCTTCCTACTTTCCCAATTGGGCTCTGTTAGCTCCACTGAGATTCAACCCTTTGTCGCTCCGATCTTTCCGTCAAAAGAATAAAGAAAAAAAGGCTCTGTTAAATACCATAGCCGTAACTCCTTTGCCCGCCACCTTTGTAGGAGCTGTTTAGAGAATCTAATCATGAGCAAGGCCTGTAAATGAATGATGCTGTCACGACCCGGATTTCCCACCCTCGGGAGTCGTGATAGCACCTACTAGTGAGAGCTAGGCAAGCCGACGATTTGAATTATTTACGTTTTCCCATTTTAATCCTTTAACAATTAATAACCAACATTAGATAAATAGCGGAATTTAATAAGCGGAAGACTGAATTGTAATATTTTAATAAAGATGCCAATACCAATCCATACATAAACTACCCAGAACTTGTGTCACAATTTCACAGACGGTCTAAGAATACTACAAATAAGGGTCCGAAAAATAAGTACAATACTATCTCGGAAATACATAAATGAAACAGGATGAAAAGATAGAAGGAGACGCCAATGCCTGCGGACGCCTGCAGGACTAGCTCGGATCTCCGAATGGACTGAAGGCAGCAACCCAAAGCTAAGGTCCGTATGTTCTAGTACCGGGATCTGCACACCGTGCAGAGTGTAGTATCAGCACAACCGACCCCATATGCTGGTAAGTGCCTAGCCTAACCTCGGCGAAGTAGTGACGAGGCTAGGACCAGACTATCAAATAAACCTGTGCAGTTAAATCATATACATCGGAAAATAAAGGCGGAACTTCACAATTAAAGATAGGAAGGGGGAATCATGCTGCGAGGTACAACAAGTATCAACAGAAAATCAACAGTTAAATGTAGAGAAACCATAACTCAGTTATCAATAAAATCAGGAAATCATGGACAAGTGCACGGCATCACCCTTCGTGCTTTAACACTCTCTCACAAATAACGTGCACGACATCACCCTTCGTGCTTTAACACTCTCTCACAAATATCATGCACGACATCACCCTTCGTGCTTTAACACTCTCTCACAAATATCATGCACGACATCACCCTTTGTGCTTTACACTTTTCCTCACCCAAGCAACAATCACAAAGCAATTTGGGCAAGGAAATCAATAACATCACAATAAAATCAAGTAACAACAGAAAATCAGTAAGTAAACGTAAAGAACATCATAACTCAATTATCAACAAGAATCAGGAAAATCAAGGACAAGTGCACGGCATCACCCTTCGTGCTTTTACTCTCGTCCTCACCATAAAAATTAATATAATCGGCACGACATCACCCTTCGTGCTTTTACCTCACATAATCATGGCACGGAATGATCCTTCGTGCATTATTACTCATATAAAGGCACGGAATGGTACATCGTACGACACGGTATCACCCTTCGTGCTTTAACATTCTCTCACAAAATCATGCACGATATCACCCTTCGTGCTTTAACACTCTTCCTTACCCAAACAACAATCACAAAGCAATAAGGGCAAGGGTATAAATAAAATCACAATAAAATCCCGGCAAGGGAACAATAGTATAATAATAATATCCCGGCAAGGGAAACAATATCAAAAGCAATAACATCCTGGCAAGGGAGATAACATTAGAAACAACCACATCCCGGCAAGGGAGACAATATCATAATCCTCTTCTCTTTTCACATTTACTTCACAACTCAATTCACAACTTGAGTCAATGCTCTAAAATGTTCAACTGCCAATAATACTTCCACAAATTATTTTACAACTTGCGCCAACGCTCTTCAATGTTCAATTACCAATACTACTTCCACAAGCCTTGTTCAACAAATGAAATCATCACATAAGGCATGAACTATACAAAACGGAGTCACATTAATCATAGTATAAGACTCACGGGCATGCTTGACAGCAACGTATAGATACTCCTCACCATGCCTATACGTCGTACTCAACAATTAACACATAGCAAATAGGACACGACTCCTAATCCCTCAAGCTAAGGTTAGACCAAACACTTACCTCGATGCCACGAACACAATTCAAGTCTCTACTATCGCTTTACCTCTTGATTCCACCACCAATTCGCTCGTATCTAGCCACAAGTTACTTAATTATATCAATAAATGCTAAATGAATCAATTCTAATGCATGAAAATAAGTTTTCTAAAGTTTTTCCCAAAAAGTCAAAAATCGCCCCCGGGCCCACATGGTCAAAACCCGAGGTTCGAACCAAAACCCGATTACCCATTCACCCACGAACCCAAATATATAATTTGTTTTGAAATCGGACCTCAAATCGAGGTCCAAATCCCCAAAATTTGGAAAACCTAAGTTCTACCCAAAACACCCAATTTCCCCCGTGAAAACCCTTGATTTTGAGTTGAAATCATGTGAAAAGATGTTAAAGATTAATGAAAACGAGTTAGAAATGACTTACAATCGATTTGAAAGAGTACTTGTCTTTGAAAAATCACACAAAGGTGTTTAGGTTTTGAAAAGGGTTGAAAAATGGCTGAAATGCGTCTAAGTCATGATTTTGCAGGTTGCAGATGTCGCAATTGCGACCAGGGTTCGCAATTCAGAACCTGTTAACTTCGCAAATGTGAAAATATTGTCGCATTTGCGACACTGAAGAAATCCGGTCCTATTCGCATTTGCGAGGGACCTTCGCATTTGCGAGGGACCTTCGCATTTGCGATAAACACGTCGCATTTGCGACCAAGGCAGCCCAGGCCTTCTTTGCATTTGCGATAAAGGTTCGCATTTGCGGGCTCGCATTTGCGAGCCAGGCATTTGCGAAGCCTGTAGGCCTACAACATACCAGCAATTTCCTAAGTCCAAATTTCACTCCGTGACCTATCCAAAACTCACCCGAGCCCTCGGGGCTCTAAACCAAACATGCACGCAAGTCCAAAGACATCATACAGACTTGCTCGTGCGATCAAAGCATCAAAATAACATCAATAACTAGAAATTTAGCATCAAAATCAAAAAAAATCTCAAGAACTTTCGAAGTTTCAAATTTAACAACTAAGGTTCTGAATCACGTCATATGACCTCCGTTTCTTACCAAATTTTACAGGCTCAACTTAAATCACATATAAGACCTGTACCGGGCTCCGGAGCCAAAATACGGGCCAGATACCATCAAATTCAAACATATTTCATTTCCAAAAACTCATATATATTTCAGAAAATAATTTTCGTTAAAAATTCATTCCTCGGGCTTGGGACCTTAGAATTTATTTCGGACATACGCCCAAGTCCCATATTTTCCTACGGATCCTCCGGGACTGTCAAATCACGAGTCCGGGTCCGTTTACCCAAAATGTTGACCGAAGTCAACCTAAATTCATTTAAAAGTAAAATTCACCATTTTTCACAGATTTTCACATAATGGCTTTTTGGATACACGCCCGCACGCAAATCAAGGTGAGACAAAAAGGAGGTTTTAAGGCCTCGAATCACAGAATCGACTTGTAAAACAAGTGATGACCTTTTGGGTCATCACAAATGCTATTTCTTAAGGACTTGATTAATATTGAAAGGATGATATAGTTCCCTGTCCTTTTCAATCTCAGTGGTACTTTTGGATATTGTTGTCTGGTTCCATTTTATCATATTTCCTGGAATATAGAGAGCATTTATCTGCTCATAAACGTTGGTACAGATATTATCTCCTTGGTTGCTGTTGCTGGTACGGATCTATTGTCTCTGTTCATCTTTTTGAGCCGAGGGTCTCCCGAAAACAGCCTCTCTACTCCTCCGGGGTAGGGGTAAGGTCTGCATACACTCTACCCTCCCCAGACCCCACTTGTTAGATTTTATTGGGTGGTTGTTCTTATCTGCACATAAATTGTTACAACCAGGATCTTCTTGCTCATCAGAAGTATCTCTTTCTATGATATAACTGTTTGTGGTTGCGCATCCTTTGTGCAGTTTATAGTGAACCAAATTTAATTTACTTAACTCTTTCTTCTTAACTGGCTTCTGTTATGAAGAAGGCAGTTTAAAAGAAAATCTGCTTTCCTAGTAGGACTCTGCTAAATACCAAACCCCTGTTTCTCAGTTAACTAGATGAGATAGGGAGTAATAATATAAAAATTTACAAGTTATCTGCTACAACTTTGTTGGATAAAACTACTTTACCAACATGTTGTCTTTGTGGATTGAACAGAATCTGGTGCATTGTTCAAGGTGTATTCAAATTAGACCACACTTTACCAATATAAAATATAATAAGATATTCAACAATTAAAAAGAAAACAGGAAACTATAGAAAGCTTGCTTGTTGTATACATAGATATAAAATTGAGCAGAAAAGGTTATAGGGCATAGCAGAAGAGGAAGAAGGGTTGCACAGGCAATAAATTCAACGCGTAAAATGAGTTCTAAAGTTGAAATTAATTAAAGAATGTCTAGTTTAATATTAAAGATTGCAATCATGTTGATATCAATTTCAACAGCCGGCCAAGAAACATTGCAAAGTGTTTGTACTAGAAAGCAGCTTGAATTTGTTTTATCTTTTTGTCCTTTGTGAGTGTTTGAATGTGGTATTTGGAAAAATTTATTTTTGGATTATTGTGAGAGATTGTCCTTGTGGTTTGACAGCTCTGTTATGTTTATAAAACAACTAATGATGGATTCATTTATGTTTCAATTTGTGTAAAATAGACTCAGTGAAGTCAAGTTTATGTTTTTATCCTCGCACTGCTTTTCCCCACCTGCCTCCCACATTTCATTAGCAACTTCTTGTGCCTACTTATAGCTGAACACTTTATTCCTTAGTTTAGCTGTAGTTCTAACACTACAAATTAGCTGTATTCATGGAGAAATCCTACTCTTTTGTTCTTTCAGTAGTCTTCGAACTCTATTTCTTAGTGGCATGCATGGCCACAAACATAACCACAGATCAATCAGCTCTTCTTGCCTTGAAATCAAGCTTTGCTCTAAACTCTTCTCATCCCTTAACTCAAAATTGGTCTTCTCAAGCTTCAGTTTGTAATTGGATTGGAATCAGTTGTGGCTCTCACCACCATAGGGTGACTGCACTAAATATATCCAACATGAACATTCATGGAACCATTCCACCACAGTTGGGAAACCTCTCCTTTCTCGTTTCTCTCGATGTGAGCAAAAATAATTTCGACGGAGACTTTCCTCAAGATTTGTCTCGTGTACGTCGATTGAGGGAAATTGATCTCGGATACAATAATTTTAGCGGAGAAATTCCAATATGGTTTGGTTTATTTTCTAAGCTTAAGATGTTAATTCTTGATGACAACGCTTTCACTTATATACCTCCTTCTATTTCTAACCTATCCAAGTTAGAGACTCTGAGTGCTGGATACAATCGTCTTCAAGGCAATATTCCCAAAGAGATCGGCAACCTTCAAAATCTAAAAGAGTTGGTTTTAGTCAGTAACCAACTTACTGGCTCTATCCCCTTCTCCATTTTGAACATCTCTTCTTTGGAGACTTTAGCTCTCACATATAATCAATTATCAGGAAGTCTTCCTGTAGATATCTGCAGCCGTCTTCAAAGAATCAAAAGCATTTCAATAATTTCCAACCAATTGAGTGGTCACATTCCAGAAGGTTTATCGAATTGCTCAGAACTGTATGACTTGGCTTTGTCCTATAATAAGCTCAGCGGGACCATTCCACCGGAACTTGGAAAGTTGGAAATGCTTGAGTTATTAAGCCTTGGGGGAAATAACTTAGAAGGTAAATTATCATTTTTCCTTAAGCATGCTTTGGCCAATGCCCAATAGCATAAGTAAATAAAAGGTCTGCTGCCATAAAGGTGTGCAGTGTTCTCTAATTCACAAATTAATTTGCAGGCATAATTCCAGATACAATTGGAAATTTACGAAAATTGCAGAAATTGCAACTTGAGAACAACCACTTAGTGGGTTCAATACCGCGCACCATATTCAACATGTCATCACTATGGTTGCTTAATTTCAACACCAACAATTTATCTGGTAATTTTCAAGCAAATCATTCTTGTTTGGTAATCCAGTCTAGTCTTGCATATGGAAGTTGTTGATTATTGATATATGAAGTCCATAGTAGTTGTTATATTCAACCTATAAATGTATATATATCATTATCCACATATTGATGAACCGTTGATAACTTGCGTAATTAGATAGCCTTAATCCAGATATACTCTTTCTGAATTGTTTCATGGAAGTTAGAACAAAATTAGAAAAAATAGCATTAACTTGGATCCTTTTTCTATGTATAATGTAGCAGGTGTTATACCTAGAGAGATTGGGAATCTTCAAAAATTGGAGTTACTTTACTTGCAATTCAATAAATTAAGTGGTTCCTTACCGGAAGAGCTCTTCAATATTTCTACGCTAAGAGGGATGGCACTTTCTTACAATAACTTTTCGGGTAGTCTTCCATCTGCTTTAGGCTACTGGCCAACAACTCTACAGTATTTGCATCTTGGTGAAAACAACATTGGTGGAGTTATACCCAACTCAGTGTTCAATTCTTCAAATCTAAAGGAATTAATACTTGATGATAACAGATTCAGCGGCGCAATTCCTAACTCGTTAGGGGATTTGAGACAGCTTGAACGTTTGCGCTTGTTCCGTAATAACTTAACATTTCCACAACTAAGTATCTTTGCTTCCTTGGCAAACTGCAGATCTTTGAGAGAGATAGATTTGTCGGATAATCCTCTTAATGGTGTTCTTTCAGATTCCATTGGCAATCTCTCCACTTCTCTTGAACTGTTTGATTTACGTCATTCTGAAATTAGTGGCCAGATACCATTAGGAATTGGGAATTTAAGTAACTTAACTGATTTGTACCTATTAGACAATGATTTGACTGGATCAGTGCCTAGCACATTCTGTGATCTACACAATCTTCAAAGGTTATATCTTCACCAGAATAGATTAATTGGACCCTTGCCGGAATGCCTCTGCAATTTGCCGGTGTTGGGCATGGTATCTTTGTCATATAATCAAATTTCGGGTCCGATACCGTATTGCATTGGTAACGTTACCTCTTTGAGAAATATTTATCTAAATTCAAATAGGCTCACTAAGATACCTATGAGTTTATGGAGCCTCAAAGATCTTGTGGAGCTTGACTTGTCGAATAATTCTTTGGTTGGTTCTTTACCTCCAGATTTTGGAAATTTGAATGCCATAACATTCTTAGATTTGTCAAGGAATCACATTTCAGGAAGTGTTCCGAGCACAGTGGGGGACTTGCAGAAACTACTTTATCTTTCTGTGGCTTATAACGAGTTACAAGGATCTATTCCTGAGTCACTTGGAAAAATGTTAAGTTTGGAGTCGGTGAATCTATCCAATAACTATCTTTCAGGTATGATTCCAAAATCATTAGAGGCACTTCAATATGTAAAGCATTTCAATGTATCATTCAATAGATTAGAAGGTGAAATCCCAAGTAAAGGACCATTTGTCAATTTCACCTCTCAATCTTTTATGGGAAATGAAGAGTTATGTGGTGGTTTCCTTTTCTTACCTTGTAAGAATAGGTCCGTTCATCAATCGCGGAGAAACAAAGTTCTTCTGATTGTACTTATCCCACTGGCAGTTTTATTGATGGGATTAGGTTCAATTATTCTTTTCATGTTAAAGAGACGTGGGAATAGAAATATTCCAACTCAAGTCGAATCTTTACCTGCAACAACAACACCAACCAGGATTTCATATATTGAAATTGAAAGGGCAACTCAAGGGTTCGACCAATGCAACTTGCTAGGCCGTGGAGGTTTTGGCTCTGTTTACAAGGGCATGTTTTCAAATGGGATGGTTTTGGCCATCAAAGTGTTTACCTTACAATCTGAAGTTGCATTCAAGAGTTTTGATCTTGAATGTGAAGTTTTGCGCAACCTTCGCCATAGAAATCTCACCAAAGTTATCAGCAGTTGTTCCAACATGGATTTTAAAGCATTACTACTAGAGTACATGCCTAATGGCAGCTTGGAGAAATGGTTACATTCTGATGATTACTTCCTGGACATAATCCAAAGATTAGACGTAATGATTGATGTGGCATCTGCTCTGGAATATCTCCACCATGGTTGCTCAACAGTTATTGTACATTGTGACTTGAAGCCTAGTAATGTCTTGCTAGACGAAAAGTTGGTTGGACATGTGAGTGACTTTGGCATGGCAAAGTTATTGGGAGAAGGGGAATCTATTGTTCATACTAAAACACTTGCTACAATGGGTTACATTGCACCAGGTAGCTTTCTTTTTGTCCTTTTATCAAATATGAAGTGCTTTAATAATTTTTATCTGGTTCTAATTTAATCTATTGCAGATTTTGCATAGAAAATGGTATTGAAAACATCAAAATACAGCAATATCAAACCTATATTCATGCATATGTAACGATTATAAAGGAAAAGAAACTTGCAGTTATAGTATATAGTTTCAGTTTAATTGCCTTACCCTTGATTCATTCCTGTTGAACCTTCTTTATTTTGCTTAATCTTTATCTACTCAAAGTAGTTTCAAGTATTTTTAGTATAATCCCATCGGATATGATTTTTGCTTGTTTATTCGGCCTGTCAAGAAACTAATTACTCTATTAATGTTTGTTTAGAGTATGGATCAGTAGGGTTAGTTTCTACAAGCTGTGATGTATATAGCTATGGCATTATGCTTATGGAAACTTTCACAAGAAAAAATCCATACAACGAAATGTTTCAAGAAAACTTGAGCATGAGGAGTTGGGTATGTAATTCACTACCTGTAGCACCAGAGGATATTATTGATGTCAGTTTATTGGAATCTGAAAAGATTGGTTTTAAGAAAAAGTTGCATTGTGTGTCTGCTATATTGGAGTTGGCATTGAATTGTACAGCGGAATCTCCTAATGAGAGGTTGAACATGAAAGATATCCTGGCAAATATCAAGAAGATCAAACTTGCATTTCTTCGCGAATGTGATGGTAAGTATCCAACTTTTGAAGTAGTCGTAGAGAAATTATTTCCTTATCAATGAATAGAAATGATATTCCCTTGTCTATATACCATATATAAATTTATCGATTGGTTTTCTGTACTTGGTTCTTATACAAGTATTTTCCCTTGTTCAAGATGCTCCAAACATGCCATTCTTGCTCAACCCAAAACAAAAGAGAGGAGGATAATTGATTCAGTTTTTTATTATATGGAGAGCCTCATATTTATTTAGAGCTTCGAGTTTGCAAAAGCCTATCAGTAAAAGGAGGAAAGAAAGACCAACTCTGTAGAAGAAATGACAAAACGAAGCTCATCAACATATCGCTGAACTAGGGGCATAGCTAGGGGGACGCAAGGGGTTCATCGGAATATCTCTTCGCCAAAATATGACCTGGATATATAATAAGGTCAAAATTATTTTTTTATGTATGTATAGTAGATTTTTCAATCCCTTTGGCTTCTTCATGTATTTACTTTTTAATATTTTGAATCCCCTAAACTCAAATATAGGTAGCAATGTACATATTAAAATTCCCTCGCAGTTATACTTAGTGAATCAAAGGCTTAACGATCTTCACTTTTAGCCCGCACTAGAAACTATTTACATTTGGTAGCCGAAAAGTATATAAAATTTGTATAGTTTTGTATATAACATATAAAATGTATATATATAAAAAAAATATTTTTTCGATATTGTTTTAAGAGCAGCTATATAGTGTCATTTTCCGATTGCCTTATTATGGTCTAAGATTTGTAATTGAGTCACTATTTGTACCACCAAAGGATGTGGTGCAGTGGATGAGACTGCTCCTCCCTTAAGCAGAGGTCTCGGGTTCGAGTCCTGAGTATGGAAAAATCCTTGGTAGGGAGCGCTTCCCTCCGAATGGGGCCCTACGCGGCGCAAATCCGGATATAGTCGGGCTCCAATGCAGGTACCAGACACCGGGTGGGAAACCAAAAAAAAAAAAGTCACTATTTGTATTAAGAAAATTGATCAAGTTTTCGTTCGTTTATCACTGTTAATTGATGATACACAACTTGGTGGGATTTCTAAATATTTTAAGCAACTTCTCTTCAATATTTAGAGTAAGGAATCATATTAATTAAATTGCAGTTTCTGAGTTTAGTGTTTTACTTCTTATAATAAGATTGGCAAGTCAATTTTGTCAAAGAAAGCTTTCAGTTCTCCAAGTTGTTTGTATCTTGTTGTTATCACTGTACTGCTTTGTAATTCAATACCATACACTAAACTCATAAGGAAAAAGAACAAAACATTAAAGAAGAAAAGATTTAGTCTTTGTTTTTTGGGTACTTTTGGATGCTGTTTTGGCATTTCAAACACTAAACTTATAAGGAAATCTTTTGGTACTTTTGAAGTACACACTACTGCTTTGAAATTCTTGTGTGCATGTTGTGTGTGTCTGTGTAATGTTCTTTGTCCTTTTTAATATCAATGGTACGTTTGGATACGTTGTTTGTTTTCAATTTATCATGGTCCTTTGTAAGAATATTTCACGTTCAATAATTTCAGTTCTGTTTGCATATACCGAATTATCACTCGATCGTGTTGTGGGTGAACTATATCTCTCGGTTGAGAAGTCCCTTTTTTTTTTATAACAAAAATAAAAAAAATAATCTAAATGAAAATCATAGCCATACTATGAAAAATGATAGAACAAACATACTTCCTTAAGCTTCATTAAAGAAAAACTACACTTAGAGAACCTAATGGCACAAGGAAAAAGATCGAAGAAGAAATAAAAAGAAAACTCTACCACTAAATCTGATTTTTGATTGAGGTTTGCTTTCCTCCTTTAGGTTTCGGTTGCCGGAATAAGATACTAAAAGGCCAATCTTTTTTAGGAAATTTTTTGTTCCTATACCATATAAGAAATTATATTACCAAATATGTTCGCATATTACCCGTCATGCTAATAGTATTTCTACAAAATATAGACAATTCATTAAATAAGGAATCATTGTAGCTGTAGGCTTCCTTATTTAGGCGCGCTAATATTGGGGAATTAAATATTCTTCCAGATATTTTACAACGCAAATCACGCATTAATATTATCGGTTGTTTCGATTCAAAATTTAGCGACTCTGTTTTTGCGATACACTGTGTTTCAACATTTTTTCTGATTTCACAAATCAAAAACGACTAAATCTTCTACAATTCTTCTGCAACAAACGCAATTATGTCCAAAATCCCAATTATGCTACAACTGAATGAGAATTGGGATAGCTATGGGAGATTTAGAGAATTTCAGGTCAATGGCATTGTAGTCGATGAGGATGCGAGTTATAATCTATTGATTTCTACAATAGCACAACAATTAATGATCGATACATCCGAAAAAATTATAAAAATCAAATACAAAGGAAAGGAAAAGAGAACAACAATTTCACCATTGACAGTCATTAAAAAGCTTTGAAGCTTTGAATTCGAATATGGATTTTCAAAAATCATTATTTGTTTGGATTGGGTGTTGTTGAAAATAATTGAAAATATGGTTTGGAGTTTATATCTCAATTTTGAGGGGTTTTGGTGAAGATTAGACTTGGTTTTGGCTGAATTTCAGATTGAAACTCGAAGAAGAAGAAGAAGAAGAAGAAGAAGAAGAAGAAGAAGAAGAAGAAGAAGAAGAAGAAGAAGAAGAAGAAGACATGAGATACATTATATTGCAGAAATTGTAGAAAAATTGCAGAAAAATTATAGAAAAATTGTAGACTGTTGTTTATTTATTTTTCTTTTATTCATTTAACTATTGTATGAAAGTTGAACAACATTATATAAAAATTATATTTAAGTGGTAGTATATTATAGTTGTGTATACATGGAGACGAAAAAGGAAAACAAAAACTTAGGATCATATCCGCTAAGTATAACTGTTCGCGATTTCAATATGGAATTGAGTATCAGCAATGGGAACACAGTTGCAGGTTTGTGCTGTTACATTTTCTATCAAATTCTGGTTGTATATCAATGTCCTACACTTTATCTACAATTTATCTACAAAATAACTACATGTCAGAGTAAAATATATATATCAGTATGGATTTTCACAATATCTACAAAATTTCTATATTTATTCTACAATAAAACTACATATCATTTGAAAAATTAATATGAAATATAGAATTTCAATGTTTCTACAAATTATCTACAAAATTTCTATAAACTGTTCATAACAGGATTTATCTTTATTTTCATGTAGGTTCGTCTGGAACACTAAAGTTACTTGATATGCCAACATCTCCCGTTATAGAGGAATATGAAAGTATAATAATAACAGATAGTACACCAAGTTTTATTGAAGTAGGACAAGTATACCAAGACAAACAAATTTCATACAACTAATTATACATAGTAAAAATAAATTTCATACAACTAATTATATATTATACGACTTATCTACAACTTATCTACAATTTTCTACAACTTTCACATATTATTTCCACCCAGTTAAATACAACTACAATAACATACAACTTAAATACAAATTTTATACAATATGTCTTTTGTATATTTTGTATCTGATTTATACATAGTAAAAACAAATTTCATACAACTAATTATATATTATACAATTTATTTACAAATTATCTACATTTTACGTACATTATTTCTACTCAGTTATATACAACTACAATATAATACCACTTAAATACAATTTTTGTACAATGTTGTTCAACTTTCATACAATAGTTAAATGAATAAAAGAAAAATAAATAAACAACAGTCTACAATTTTTCTACAATTTCTGCAATATAATGTATGTCATGTCTTCTTGTTTCAATATGAAATTCAGTCAAAACCAAGTCTAATCTTCACAAAAACCCCTCAAAATTGAGATATAAACTCCAAACCATATTTCCAATTATTTTCAACAACACTCAATCCAAACAAATAATGATTTTTGAAAACCCAAATTCGAATTCAAAGCTTCAAAGCTTCAAAGCTTTTTGATGACTGTCAATGGTAAAATTGCTGCTCTGTTTTCCTTTGCTTTATATTAACGAAATTTGGGATTGAGATATAGAGAGAGACGTAGAGAGAATTCTCAATTTTTTGCAACAACATCCAATCCAAACAAACAAATATCTTTTGAAAACCCAAATTCGAATTCAAAGCTTCAAAGCTTTTTAACGGTTGTCAATGGTGGATGAGTTACATATTTTCGCTGGTTTTAGAAGAGGAAATCGTGGGTGATTGAAGAGGAAATCGTGGGGTATGGTTTGATACGTGGGTGAGGAGGTGGGATTTGGAGAGAGAAACATGGGGGAGTGGGAATATACGGTTGAGTAAAATTAGGAGACTAATTAATACTATTAAAATTCTAAAATGGTATATAAATGATAATTAGGTATATAGAAGGTAATTATATTAAAAGTTAAGCATGGAGGGTAATATAATTTACTATATGACATAAGAATGTAAAAATCCTTTTTTTTTTAAAGCATTTCATGAATTTAGAACAAACATACTGGCAGGTTTCATGATATACAATCGATACATCACTCTTCTCCTCCACCCCCATCCCCTATCCTCCCAAAATTGCCATTGGCTAGAACTTCATTCTTTTTTCTTCCCTCGTTTTTGATTAAAAAAATAGTTCTAAATCCCATTTTGTATATCAATGTATCTCTAGCATACATATTTTTGTATATCCACAAGAAATTAGGTGTTATATATACAAAGAAGAAAAGTAAATTTTTGATATACATTTTAATATACAAAGGAGGAAAATAAAGTTTTGATATACATCTTAATATACACAAAGAAGGAAAATAAACTTGTGATATAAATTTTGGTATACATATTATTTAATGTGTTATACACTGCGATATACAAGCAATATAATTATTTTTGTTGTGATATACATTAATATAGAGACAATAATAAATTTTAAACAACTATATTTATAATTTCATATTATAGATACACAAAAAAGAAAATAAAATTCTAATATATATTTTGATATACATAAAGAAAGAAAATAAACCTGCGAGATATATTTTGACATACATATTATTGTTGTGATATATATTTATTGGATATACGGCACCGATATCTATAACTAAGGCTTTTTTCTACTAATTATATGAGTACGCTGTCACACTGCACCAAAATCCAAAATTTGAAGCAATGAGCTTTACACAATGGGTTGGATTGTTCTCGGTGGAAAAAAATATGTATAAAGGCCATGTTACTTGGGTTAGAGCATAAGCTAGTAAAATAACAACAATAAAAATCCAGTAAAATTTTATAAGTGGGATCTGAGGAGGGTAGTGTGTACGCAGACCTTACCCCTACCTTATGAAAGTAGAGAGGCTGTTTCCGAAAGACCCTCGGCTCAAAAACAGTAAAAATAAAGAAATATAGAAACAGTAGCAATAACAAGGTAATAAGACAATGAAGCAAATAATACAACGAGTAATAACAGAGATCCAAAAATACGAAAATACAAGAATAGTACCAATCCTACTAATAATAATGACACACCGTATAAAAATAAGGGACTAGGAATCGGAAAATACACGACTAGTACTACTACTACTATTGGTAAGGCAAGGCAAAAT